GAGGGAGAAAATTGATTTCTCCCTTACATGATCCAATACCCCCAGGCACAACTGATTGGATAGAACATTCTTTGCTACTGCACTGTCATAAATCAAGTGACCATGTAGGCGATGATCTGTTTCTGGACCTCCCATTCTTCTTCTGTGCTCTGTTTTTTCTTCTTGAGCCAACACCATATTTTCTTAATTATGTAGCACTGTAATAAACTTGATATTTGATAGTGCACATTTCCCAGCTTTGTCCCTCAAAACTGTCTTTGCTATTCTTGGCCCTTTGTCCTTCCATGTAAAATTTAGAATCGGCTGGTGTTTTAAAATGGAATTGCATTGAATCTACTGGTTCAGCTTGGGGAGAATTGGGGAGAAAACTGTAGTCTTTGTGATATCCAATCTTTGTCTCAATACATTGACATGAGATATCCCTCCATTTATTTAGGTTTTCTTGAATTTCTGTCAGTATTTTATAGTTGTTGGTGTAGAGATACTGAATACCTTTAGTTCCTAGATATTTGACTTTTTAATTCTATTGTAAATGTCATTTTAAATCTAATTTTATAATTGTTTGTTGCTATAAATACAATTGAGTTTTTAAAAAAATTAAAATCCAATAACCTTAAGAAATGCACTTATTTATCCTAATAGTTTAATTGCTATGTTCAAAATCATAATGCCTGGCAATAATAAAAGTATCATTTCTTATAAAAGTTATTTATTTATCAATTTGTTTTTCTTGCCTTATTGCACCTGCTAGGACCTCCAGTAACAGAATGAATAGAAGTGGTGAGAGCATACTTCTTTGTTTCCTTCCTCACGTCAGAGGGAAATATGTCAATATTTGACCATTGATTGGAATGTTTGCTGGTGGGATTTTTAGAGTTACCCTTTAGCATATAAAGGAAGTTCCTGGGGTCCTGGGATCAAGTCCTACATCGGCGGGCTCCCTGCTCAGTGGGGAGTCTGCTTCTCCCTCTCTCTCTGTCCCTCCCCCACACTCGTGCTGTCTCACTCTCTCAAATAAATAAAATCTTAAAAAACAAAACAAAACAAATAAACAAACAAAGACATTTCTTCAGAGTGCCTGGTTGGGTTGGTTGGAAGAGCACGTGATCCTTGATCTGAGGGTCGTGAGTTGGACCCTGAGCCCCACGTTGGGTGTAGAGATTACTTTAAAAATATATAGATAGATGATAGATAGATAGATAGTGAGAGAGAGAGAGGGACATTTCTTCTACTACATGACTTGAGAATGCAACCCAAACACTTTATCTGGAGTAGATGAAAAGCTGGCTTGTGGTGGGCTTATTGAGAGATGCTCTTGACATGGAGAGGCACTATAAGACTCTTCAAGGAGTACTTTGACTCTACATGATCCTCACTTTATGCTCTAACTTTAGACCCAAACTTCTAAGTAGGATGTCATTCCATTGTAAGAACCCTCTGCTGCTCCTGAGATTACAAAAAAGATGGATGGGATTCAAGGCATTTTGGAAAGAGAGGCATGCATGTTGCCATTCTTGGGAAGACAGGCATGAATGGCCATGCAAGGAGTAAACCCAGATGTAAGGGATGTGGTCCATAAAATTTACATGGTGAGTAACAAAGAGTCCCCAAATCGGTGCCTTAAGGAAGACAGATGCCTGTTTCCCACTCATTAACAGTCCCCACACTGCGAGACCAGCTCTGTGAAATAAATTATAGCTTTGATCCTTACTGGCAAGGACCCAGATGCCTGTCTTGTGACCCCGCCATCCTAGGGTACTGTCCTTGGCTACAAGACTGAAGCCAGATCATGAAATGTCACTGAGGGGGAAAGAGGGTCCAGGGCAGCAAATTCCTTTTCAAGCAAGTGAGGCAGGAGTGGCGCATACCTCTTCTATTCACATTCCATGGATGACAACTAGCTATGTGGCCACACCCAGCCACAAGGAAGGCAGGGATGTGTATACATGACTTCAGTTGTGGGGTCATGTACCCAGAAAGAAGGGGAGAGCAGATTGGGGTGGGAGAACAGTGACCTGTGTTTACCCAATGAGGAATTCCAGTTCTGAAGTGGTGACTCTCCACTTAATGTGTTAATTAATCTCCAATTAACGTGTTTTTTAAATAATCTCTCTAGATTGTACTTGATATCCTCAAACTTTCCACATATTCCTTGATTTGGCGCCAAAGATTGTTTAAAGACAGGCATCTACCTTTTCCCAAAACACAGTCCTGGGGGAAAAGAGTAAACCATCTGAGGGCTCGGGTTGTTTGAGAGATGAAGGAATGCCAACTTGGTAGGTTTAGGGACCTCCCTAGCAACACTGGGAATGTTCCTAACGGCAGCACAGAGCTAGGACTGTGGAAATGCCAACAATGGGCAGCCTGACATTTTTTTCTACCTCCCTGAAGAATTTCTGTGCTGAGGGAATTCATTACCTTCCCAATTTCCTCCTCTTCCCATCTCTAACAGTTAGTCAGAGCCAAGTGTTCATAATGCAAAGGCCCAGGAAAAATAATTAAAAAGAACAAAGGGGCTCCCCCTGCCGTGGGTTTTTGGTTCAGGTACCTGAGCAAAGTCCACAGACCTACACCTGGCTGGGCTGAGGAAAGGAACAGAAATGAGCCCTCCCCTTACCTCCCGGGCAGCCTCAGGAAGAGTAACCAAAGGAAGGGGTCTGTGGAGGAACAGAGGGCAGAGGTGAGGCAGAGGGAGAGAGCAGGACCGGCACAGCCTAGCCCTGAGGCCTGTATTTCCTATGGGGAACGTTCGTCCCGGTTCCACCCACAGCCAAGACTCCCTTAGGCCAGGTGAAGTAAAATGTCAGTGAGCCTGCTCACCATTCTCCCAAAGCCAACTCTCGCCCCATCCTCGGCCATTGAAAGTACCCAGAGGATGGGAGAAGGAGAGGTGTGTCCAGCATGTGATGGACAGAAGTCTGGCCCAGCAGAACAAACATTCATGTCTGATCCAGACACCCAGAAGTTCTGATGTAATGCGTCTGGATGGAGACATCAGCAGCAGGCTTTCTAAATGTGTAAAGCTTGCCGGACCTCAAGTGATCTGTTAGCCCATTGAGAAAAGGTGGGACATTTTAAGGATCAGGAAACCATCTTGAAAGTGAGATGATTTGCATAAGATCACCGCAGACTAGTCATTTGATTCTTGTCCAGAAACCGCAATTTAACTGCCCGGTGGAGGAAAAAGAGAATGTTTTTTGGGATGGATTCGCAGGTTGTCCCTGCCTGTGTGGTTTGTAGGGATAATATGGTTTCATTTTACTCTTGCAAAAGGGACTGAGGGAAGGCCATCTGAGTACCCGGGGCCCCACCTGTGTTCCCCGTGCGCCACACGGGGGTGAGCCTGCGTGCAGGGGAGTGAGGACATCCAGTCACTGCTTTACATGTTGCCAATGCGTGAATATTTGTGCCACATGGTTTTGGTCTCTCCAGGAAGCTCAGCCGTTAGACATTTGTGCCTCGTTTTTTTCTTGTCTGGCATAAGGCAAGGCTCTCTCCACTGTGGAGAATCCAGCTCTCCCCTTCTGCTCTCAATCACTCACCGCCCCCTTCCCCCAAGAACATAGCACCTCGGGGCCCGAAAGCAAGCTGTGTGGTGCAGAGCACGGGACATCTGAACCACCAAACCAGGTTTGAACCAGAATGTTTCCTACCTGAGACTTCTTGTGGCCATCAGAGGACATTTGTGTACAATTATGGAAATAATTTTGTGTTGTAGAAAGACCCAGCACAGCAGCAGACCTTCATGAAGACTGGGGCCGCTGATTTGTAGACAGAGGACACTTCCCACAACCGCCTGAGGATGTCTGTAGCCCTGGCAACTGCTGCTACACAGACAGGGGAAAGAGTTAAGCTAAGGAATGCCATCACCCTTGGAGTGTTAAAGCAGGGCATCATCACCCCCCCCCACGCAACACAGCTCACCACAACACACGTGCAACACACACGCAACACACGCTCATGCAACTCACAGTACGCTCCCGTGCACTCACACCCGCAGCCGAGTTGCTCCTGAGGGACCTCACTGAGCTTTTGCAGCAACCAGCCAGCAGGGGACAGCATTGCAAAGGCTTTGGAGGACCAGGACTTTGCATCCAGAGGCAACTGGCACCGAGGATTCAGTTTACAACGGGCACCGGTTGATTGTCTGCTGGGGGCCAGGCATTGTGCGGGGTGCCGCGGGGCAGGGGGCGGGGGGAGGGCAGCAATGAAGACAACAGGAACGTCTCTTGCTTCGAGACTGAGCTTCCTTCTGAAACTCTCACTCGTGTGGCCCCCCGACTCTGCGGCAGACATGGGGTAGTAGAGTTGCGCCTTGGATCCAGCCCTGCACTCCACAGGTGTGTGAGATTAGGCAAGCCCCTTTTCTGGAACATCAAGTGGCTGATAGGGCAGTGGCATCCGGTAGAAATTCAATGCGAGTGATGAATGCAAGCCACACTGATGACTGTAAATTCTCTAGTAGCACCTTTGAAGTAAAAGGAACAGGTACAATTAATTGTAATAGTGTATTTCATTTAACCCAATATATTAAAATAACATTTCAATGTGTAATACAAAAATGCTGAGCTATTTTACATTTGTTTTTTGCACGAAGCTTCCCCACCCGGGGTTTGGTTTCCACTTACAACACATCTTGGGACAGGCCACATCCTAGGTGTTCCATTGGCACAGTGGCCCGTGGTCACCACGCTGGATGGGGTGGCCCGACGCCTTGCAGGGCGTTAGAATCAGCTGGAGAGCTATTAAGAAATCACCCATGCCTCAAACCACACACAACAAACAAATTCGGAGCCCAGGCTGCCTTGGATCGCTTCTATTTTGTCAGAAGCCTGCGGTGATCACCAGATGCCAAATGCAAGCCTAGCCCTCCCTTTCCCCCTTTCTAGCGTGTACGCTCATCCTTCCCTACACACACACACATGCACACACACACAGCCACGCACAAATACACACGCACATACACACAAATATATACACTCACAGGTACACACACAATGTTTGGAACCTAAAGTTAGAGGTTCATCAGAGTTCCCTTTATTAAAAAACACAAAACAAAGGGATGGATGACAGAATCAGACTCCCGCATTTTTGCCCAGCTGGCCTCTCAGGCCCTGTTCTGGGGGCCCCGTGGCTCTGGCCACCGTGTCCCCCCCCTCGGAGAGCCCCACGCTGTGCTCGGCAGACGCCCGTCCTCTGCTTCTGCGCTGGCTGCCTCTCATCGCTGACCCCCCCAAGCCCGTCAGGGGCCGACTCCTTTGCTGCCGAGGAAGCTGCGAGGGCCAACCACTGCCCTCTCCTTCCTGGGCTCAGCCCCCGCCCTGGCCCCTCCCCTGTGCCGATAGGCTGGGGTGGGGGGCGGTGGCGCTTTTCAGGGTCCCCGGGCGTTTCCGGGGCGGAGAGAGCCCCGCCTCCGGGCACAGGTGTCCAGGCGCGGGGCTGCTGCAGCCCCGGGGAGACCATGCAGAGGGGGATGGTTGAGGGAACCCCCGTGTACTTTGGCCCCTAGGGCAAGAGGACAAGAAAGCAAAATCCCACTGATAGCCTTTGTTGTCTGTAGGGAAGTGCACAGTAATGTAAAAGCAAGCACGCATGTAACCCCTAGTCACCCCATCCAGGTTGGGGAAGAGAAGAGAGGTTTGGCGCAGGTGACTTCACGTAGGCTTTAGATGGAAGTGTCCTCTGCCATGATGTCAGCGGGCCCTGGAAATGTCCCTAACACTTCCAGAGCCTCTGATGCTTCACTTGCAGAATGGGAATGAAAACCCTGCGGTGCCCGGCGCCCAGGGGTTGAGGAGGCTGCAAAGGACTGGCTCACGCTGGTTCAGCACGGGGAGGGCCTGGGACCGTGGCCTTCCTTGGAAGCTAGCCAGCGAGCCAGCCGGTACCGCGGGGTGGGGGGCGGGGGGGCCGGGGACAGGACTCTCGGGTCAGCGATGATGGACTGTGCTGTTCACACCTCTCCCCCAGGGCAACATGAAGCCTGCCCCCGCGCTCTGGAGGCCCCCCGCGTTGAGAAGGGGCCATGAGCCCACCGAGCTTTGCCCCAGAGGGACACACTCTCCGCGTTCTCCTGCGCAGTGGACAGACCTGCCTTAGGCCGAGACCGCGGCCCCTGTCTTGCCAGGCTGTTCGCTCTGCAGACACCCTTGGAAAGTTGGTCCTGAGCAACGTCCAGAACAAAAGCAGTCAGCTCTTTGGGGGGCACAAGGGGCAGAAGGGCAGGAGATCCATGGAGAATTGTCTCCCCACGGAAGTGCTGTGTGAAGGGCGAGCGCTGTGCGCACAGAGGGTCCTGCTTCATTTACTCGGACAATTGCCTGGCGGGGAGGGAAGGCGAAGCAGAGATCACCGTTTGGCCGCTTCTCTGGCTCGGGAGCCTGGGGTAGGAAGAGGTTAAGTATTTGCTCACGGCCACCCAGCCCCTTGGTGAACTGCCATGTCTAACACTGAGAAGTCTAGACTCCAGGCCACTGGCAAGACGATCTCCCATTCATTCGTCCCCACTACAATCTACAGATTGTAACACCCGGGAGCACTCAGCAGTCACGGCCGTTATAATATTCTGAAGCTTCCAAGGCTGAGCTCATTTGAAAACAGGTGATATGGGCACGAAATAACTAGGCTCTGTTCTGGGTTAATCAAAATGATTCCTGGGGCTGCCCTGACCTGCCAACTTGGGCGTCAGAGGGCTAGGAGGGAGCTCACAGATACCCAAGGGCAGTCAGGCCCGGGGGGGGGGGGGGGCGGTGCGGGGGTCTGAGCTGTGAGCCTCCTGAGCAGGAGGCTCCGGGGAGGAGGGGGAGCAGCATGCCTATGGGGCGGGGGTCAGCTGGCACCCTCACACCCACACACCCGTCTCCGCTCCGTCCTCAGGGGCCCGGCCCCGAGGGGTTCCTTCTGTGCTGAGAAGGTTGCCAGGCTCAAGAGGTCATGTGGCCTGGGGCTGAGGTCTCTGCTTCCACAAATGTGGTGCCCTGGAGGGGCTCTCGCTGTGCCCCCGAGGGGAAGGGTTTTGTGCAGGGGAAGCAGCCTGCAGGCTCGGTCTCTTCAGGGGGCTCTTGCCCAGGGAGGGCCTCTTTCCAGTCCACCAGTATGACGGCCCATAATCACCGGTTGAACAGGCGCGGGGACAAACCCTTCGAATGCATCATCCTCACGAGACCCATGTCTGTGGTGACAGGCTCTAGTCACACATGTAAGTCACATAGCTCAGCTCATCAAAGGCCCATCCACGTAGGGTTCCAGCCAAGGCTTGTGGGCTCTCTGCACATTTCCACAACTAAAGTAGGGGGCCAGGAGCAGAGTCCCTTAAAAGTCTTTCCTCTGCGCCGGCCTGTCTGGGCAAAGTTCCTCAGCCTACATCTGTAGATGAGCTGCTCTGTGGGCTCTGTTTGCAGGAAAAGCTGCCCCATTGTCACATCCGGGAGGGAAGGGGGCGCCGAGCAACTCTGTCCTTGGCATGAACGTACGCTGCCCTCTAGTGTTCAAAGAGCAGCGGGACACCTCCTCGGCTCTGGTCGCACAGGGTGGCGGCCCCTGGCCTTCCCTGGAAGGGCGGAACAGAGCCCCCACTTTCCCACTCAGAAGAATGGGCCCCTTCCCAGCGGGCTGTGTCACCCTGACAGCGAGCCCCCCGCCAGCCACCCTCTGCAAGCTCAGCTCTACCAGAAGGGATTTTTCTCTAACAGGGACTCTCCTATGCTATTGGCCACAGTCACCTCGGAAGCTCTTTATCCCAATGGCTAATGGCAAGTGTTGATATTGAACTATTTTCAGCTTCGATTCCACATGACACCATCACTTTTAGAAACCTAGCTCCAAAGACAATAATCTGTATGCTAAGGAATACAGCAACTCCTCATGTTAGGATTTTAGAAAAATGTTCGAGAGTACAAAAAGCAGAGGAGCCCTCTAATGATCTTTTGGCCTTTGAAGAAGTGTAAGAGGACAAATCTGAGTTCAACTTGACCTCCAGGAATAAATGGGGGTGAGGGTGCGTGGGGAGACTTCCCACAGCAGCAGTCCTAGGTTAATCTAGCACTCATGTTTCCAGAGCAGGTGCAGGGTCAAAGGGCAGAGACACAGTCGCTTGAGTACACTCCATCTCCAGAACATTCTTGATATTCCTGAAGGCCCTGACATCAGGTACATGCTCCCCTCGGATGCAATGTGGTACATAGATCAAAACTGTAATAGCCCAAGTCCCAGTCCGCAGCACTGCCATTGTCCTGCTGGGTAACAAGCGACCACAGCCTCTTCAGGAATGTACCCAGGGAGTGTTTGCTTTTCTCATGCGTCTGTCTTAGTCCTCTCGGGCTGCTCTCATGAACGACCACAGACAGGTGACTTATAAACAACAGGAATTGATTTCTCATAGTTCTGGAGGCTGGAAGTCTGAGGTCAGGGGGCCAGCATGGCAGGATGAGGGCCCTCTGCTGGGTGTTAGCTGGGCTGACCCTACTTTAAGTGTGGGTCTTCAGGTTGACTGGGGTGGCCCGCCTCTCCATGTCTCTCATGTTTCCAGAATGAGGGGGCTGCCTAGGGCATATTCTCCTGACAATGGGAGAAGCACAAGAGGGAATACCCAACCATGTGAGCACATTTCAAGCCTCTGCTCAGATCACGTCTGCTGATACATCATTGGCCAAAGCAGGCCATGTGGCCAAACCTCAAATCAATGGCAGGGATTTATTCTCTGCCCTCAGAGTGTGCACTGGGGAGGGGGGAGTGGAGATTAGAGAATAAACATTTGTTCAACTGTAATCCAAACAGTTACACCCCTTTGGACCCTAAAGTTCCCTTGCCTTAATCAGTGTGTAGAATACACAGAGCCATGTGGAGGTACATGCGGGGCTGACTGGCTGGTGGGTGACCTCTTGCTCTGCACCAGCTTCAAGCAGGAGGATTTATTTATGACTGATTGCTGCTCTTCATAAAGACCACTCAAGAATAGACAAAATTGGGCGCTTTGGTGGCTCAGCTGGTTAAGCGACTGCCTTCGGCTCAGGTCATGATCCTGGAGTCCCTGGATCGAGTCCCGCACCAGGCTGCCTGCTCGGCAGGGAGCCTGCTTCTCCCTCCGACCCTCCCCCCTCTCATGTGCTCTCTCTCTCTCATTCTCTCTGTCTCAAATAAATAAATAAAATCTTTAAAAAAAAAAAAAAAGAATAGACAAAATCATGCAGGCCAGCTTGGCAAAGGCTCTGGGATGGTCCAATTTCCTTGGGCCGAGGGTTCTCCATCCAGGCAGGTGCTCAGGATTGTCGAAGTGTGGAGACGCTACTCTGTGAGGCTCCCGGTTCTCATCCCAGAGCTCACTGCTCAAACTGGGCATGAACAAGGCAGATTGGAGAAACCTGCTGCGGGAAACCACGTTTTATTTGCATTAAGAAGATGTTTTCTCTCTACTGAATGTGATAGCAGGATCTATGCAATGGTTCCGTGACCTTGAAACTTCTCTGGAATAAGAAAAAACCCAAACCCTCCACAGGTACCATCCACTGGAGATACCCAAACTTCATAAAGATGGTCTATTGTAAATGAAATAACAAATTCTGCGAACTTCAGCTTAATTTGTCTTCATCGTCCAACCTTACCTATGTGGGGCGGATCTGAAACAGAGATAATATGGGTGCAATTATAACTCTAACAGGGAATCGTCCATGGAACAGACGTTTTTAAGAAAGACATTTAAAAATAGTGGTATCCAGAGTGCAGCGCAGTGGCGTGATTTAAACACAGTGTTCTGTCCAAGTTCGTGCGCGCAGGGCTTCCCGAAGGCAGAAATGACTCTCCTGACAGCTTCCACGTGTTCTTCCAGAGTCAGAGACCAAAACAGCAGACCCCATGGCAAAATTATGAAGCTGTCTGGATGAATCCTCCCAGGCCTCAGGCTGACATGTCTGCTGATAGCGACCACATGTTTCCCTTTGCTTTCTGACTTCCTTGCTCAGGTTCAAGGTCAGGCATCCAGGATCAGTGCTCTCTGTCGGGCGCCTTTTAAGAAGAAATCCCTTTCTCCTGTTAAAATGGAAATTAATCTTATATCAGTTGTTGACACAGGCTCATCGAGTGGTTAGATATCAGAGTGACATCAGGCAACAATCACATCGACCAGCATTGGATCTTATCCCTAGTTGTAATAAAAGGTATTGTCCGGTATTGAAAGGATGTAGGCCTGCACCAAGAGGAGTGGGGACCGGGGCTGTCACTTCCTGCTGACTTACATAAGGTCGGATGTGAGGGGAACCGGATGGGTCCTGGAGAGAGTGAACTGGGAGAGAGGCCGGGTGGGATCTGCCGCCTTTCTCCAGCGGGGGTCCTTCCCTTGGCCCATCCTCAGGGCCCACTGTCAAGACAGGGGAGGGCCAGCCCGGGCTGCACGGGGAGGACAGACTCCACAGCCAGCCGTGCGAGAGGATGCAGCCTGCTCAAGCCTTCTGCCCACCTTCCCTGCATGCCCGGGACAGAGCTGGGACCTTCTCTGTTGCTAAGTCTCCACGGCCCTGAGTGTCCCTCCCCAGCAAGCCCCCTTGCCCCATCCGAATGCCAGAGTCCCAACTACCCCCGCATTAAAGTGGGCAACTCCGGCCCCACCTCAGGATCCAGTTCAATTCACTGCCCATTATTTCTTCTCTCTCTTTTTAAACCCTTTCTTTTTTTTCCCCACGCAACAGCAATTTGCTATAGAAAACACAGATAAACAGTGTGTGCATCCATACATCCATACCCATAATCCCAACTCCAGAGACAACAATGGTTAACGTCTCAGTGGAAACATGCCCAGGCTTGTTTCACATGTTGGCTGCACTATGGTGTTGACTCCCTGCTCTCCAGAAATACAACGGAGGACCTAGTAGCCTCTCCTCCTCCCTTCCGACTTACTTCTGAGGGTTTATTGATAACCTAGGTTGTCAAGATGTGCAAGGAACTGTGTTAGGCCCTGTGGATTCCCAAGACAGACACAACGCAAACCCTCAGGTGCTTGTCACCTAGGACTAAGGGGCAGTGACATCTGACACTCTAAGTTGGCTCCATCACGGTCATTACGGTCAGTGCCTTACAGGGGAAATGCATCCCAGAGCTACCCAAACTGTCTTAGTCCTCTCGGGCTGCTCTCATGAACGACCACAGACAGGTGACTTATAAACAACAGGAATTGATTTCTCATAGTTCTGGAGGCTGGAAGTCTGAGGTCAGGGGGCCAGCATGGCAGGATGAGGGCCCTCTGCTGGGTGTTAGACTTCTTGTGTCCTCAGGTGGCAGAAGGGACAAGGGAGCCCTCTGAGGTCTCTTTTATAAAGGCCACAAAATCCCATTTAAGAGGGCTCCACCCTCTTGACCCTATCATCTCCCAAAGTCCCCACCTCCCAGTACCATCACCTTGGCCATTAAGCTTCAACATACAGATTTTGGGGGGACACTTTCAGACCATGCCATCCCCTCATGTGGCCACATCAGGGAAGCTGTGGCAGGACTGAGGCTTCATCTGAGAAATGAAGGGCGAATAGACATTGTCCAGGAAAGAGAAGGGGCTCTAAGCTAGGAAGGACAGTAAAAAGCTCTGATATCTGCCCTATTGAATTGCTTCTGAAGACTCCAGAAGAGTTTCCCCAAATGTCTATGGGATGACGGACACGGAAATCATATGCCAACTCGTTAAAAAAGAAGTGTCCTAGTTTTCACACCAGACGCCCTAAATCAGCCTCTTTTTCTCTTTTAACAAGTTCCAGGCATTGGGATACACACCTAAGTTTGAAAGCCACAGCCTGGGGGTCACTCCTTGGGCAGATGGCCTGCGTGCTCCTGGAGCACAGGCTGGTCATTCCAGAACCATCCCCACAGGCCCCAGCTGGGCAGAGAGGTGTTCGTGGAGCCTGGGAGAGGGAGTGAAGGTTAGTTACTGCATCTCATCAACCGTATGGGCACATCTCTGTCTCACATCTTAACATCTCTGAAATAGGGATGAACTTAATAATTTAACTGACAGCATTTTCTTCCAAACAAATAATGGCATGTCTCCTAGGTTTGTCAAAATACGGTGGTCATCTTTCCCCACTGCCCCCTAGCCTCTCCTCCCTTGCTTAGCCTAGCACACTCACCCAATCCAAGCTCAACATTTCCTGCCCTCTTGGGAAGACCCACCAGCGAGAGTACTCCACGCCCTTCAGAATGTTCTCCACCATGCTGTTAGACCGCATGAGCAGTGCCACCTGCCACAACTTTCTCCCCCTGACATCTTTAAATGTTTTCTTGTGGTTCCTGTTTCATTTTTGCCTTTAGTCATGAAGTCTGACAAAAAAATAAAAGTTTCTGGGGCACATCTTCTTCGGTAGAGATATGTCTATAAATACAAATCTCCATAACCAGGAAAGGGGTTCAGGGACCTTTCCTTGCATTGTTTACAGGCTGAGATCATTAACCAGAAAGACAGGATATTCTGCTGTAAGACCTCCTATCGGAACTGCTCAGAGATCTGTTCTTGTTCCCTTGTGGTAAACTGTAGGACTTCTAAGGCTGAAAGTGTCTGTCTTGGGCAGGAAGGTGTTGGCATAAGCCCTCCTCAGGATCTCTCCAGCACGGATGCAGGAGCCCATGCTGCTCCATGCATCCCTGTGGCCATGACCCCCAGCCCTCCCTCCACCCCAGGCTCACCCCCCAGCTGCCCCTCTCCCCCGGCAGTGGGGGGGGTGCTTTCTCCTAAAGACTGTTGGGACCTCAGTGAAGACAGTCCAGAGTTCAGCCTGTAGCTGTGGGCAAAAGGCGTGATGAGTGTCCACAGAAGTGTGGACAAGGAAGAACACAGTCTGTTGTCTCAGAACCCAGAAATCTGGTATCTCCACTTCTATGTTGGCCATTCACCTCTCTTCACATTTCCTTGTTGTAACTACCAAGAGCACGGACATGGAAAAAGTCATTTCCTTCACCTGAACATGCATCTGCTAGAAAGCAAGGGTTTGCATCTATCAGACCCTAAGATTGCACTGCAGAGATAGCTGCTTACAGCTGGTCCTTTTGGCTTCATGGTTGCTCCTTTCTTGGATTAAAGGCACTATTAAAAACTCTCCATTTGGGGCAACATGTTTAATCTTCCATGAGAATAAATCTTCAATGCTGCTGTGGAGTTCTGTCGCAGAGCTTTCCACGGAGACCTGGAAAGTACACGACTGCTCTGTATCGTGGCTGGTGAGCACCTATCCACCCTGAGGCTAATAATGCCTGTAGGTGGTTGAACTGCGGCAGAGGCTGCTGGTTACCAGTCAGTAACTCTCGTTCCTCTCTTTATTACTAATAGAAATTTGATTTTATTCAGACCCATGATAGTGCCCAGTCAAAAAGCTTGACCACGTCACTGAGTTCCAGCAAATGGAATATAAGCAGAAGGGCGTAAGATGCCCTGGAAGTCTCTCTAAAGGAAAGCTAACTCATTTGGAAGGAGCATTTTTCCTCTTGTCAGATACCTGGAAAGTGTTGAGATGGCTGTCAGCCTACTAGCCATCCTGGACCATAAAGTTACCTTGAGGATGGAAGCCACCACGAGAGAGAAAGAGGCTGGAACAGAAAGATACAAGGAGTTGGCTCCCCAATTGCCATGGTGTTGATGTTGCAGGATTTCTTTTCCTCTGGTGCCCATGGTTCTTGGTCACACTGCTTCAAAGAATGAAGAGGTAGACCAGACAAAGAGTAGTGGGCAGCAAAGGAAAGTTGATTGAGCAATAGTACAAAGCTCCCGGAGAGGGTTACCATGGAGTTTTTAAGTCTAGCGGTTTTGATGGGCTTGTTGGTGGGCTGTTTTAATCTGATTAACCCTCCATGAGCCTGTCACCCGATCAGGTTTTTGTCATCTACCTATCACGTGGGAAAGAAAAGGGGGGAGGGCTCCTTCCAGGGTGGTGTAAAATCCTTTCAAGGGTGGTTTCGTTTTAGGGCATGAGACAGGGGTAGGGCCTGTTCCTGCCTGCCTTTCTTCCAACTATCCTTCATTACTGACCCGCTGGCCCTGGACTGCCTGCCTCTGAACTCCTTAGAAATGTGAGCGAAATCAGCTTCCATCTCATTTAGGCCACTGTTGTTTCTAATTTTCTGATGTAAGCTGCTGAATCTGATCTTAACAAATGCATTTTGGATTGTAAGGTGTTACCTTTGGATTTCCTAGCTGGAGGCTCATTGTCTCATCCTCCTGGGAGGCAGCAAGCTAAGCTGAACAGCATGGATTTTAGGTTTGAATCCCTCTCTGCTGCTAGCCACGTGCTGCTTTTTATCTCCTCTTCTCTGTACCCGTTTGTCTTTCGAAAAGTGATATGCGTTAAATTAGTGCATACAACATACCTGTCACACCATAGAGACCCAACGATGTTAGTTTCCTTGTCTTCCCCTCATCCCCGTGTTGAGCATTTTATTTTAAATACTCAAAAGAAACAGGTAATGCATGTTTGAGTTTATTTCTCCACAGGCCGACCGTGCCATCGTAAGTGGAGAAACACCAGCAGGGTTAGGCTAGGTAAAAACCGCCACCGTGATGGCAGCGGGAGTGCAGGGCAGAGGGAACTTGCCAAGCCAATGGAGTCTCCATGTGATCTGGCACAAACCTCCTCTCACTCAAAGCGAAGCTAGACTCTCCGGCTGAAAACAAACCAGAGGCCCACTGGACCTGGGAGGGCTGATGCTCCCAGTTTTCCATGGTGCTGTTGTCCCCCGAAGGCTGAGCAGCAGGGTGACTGACAGCATTTCCAGCCTGTGGAACACAAGCTGACCACCCGGGGAAAGATTTGTGTGGGGGGTAGAAGCAGAAAGGCCGACTTAGCTGGCGAGGCACAAATGTCTCCAAACCTAAGTGCATTTAAAAGGACCCCGAGCAGGCAAGTTGTGAGAAAGACGCTCTCTATGGACACTGTGGATGAATGCTTTTGGGCTGCCAGCCAGGCTCATAAACACCCAGTGCCCTGCTCTAACATAAGAAAAATAGGCTTGGGAGAATTCAATATTGTCAGGCTCTTGGCTGGTTCTGAAGTATGGCAAGGAGGAGAGAAGTAAGAGAAGTTACTGGAATGGGGAAATGGACCACCCTGGTGAGAGAAATAATGGCAGGGCTCCCTACCCCCATGATGACCCAGTCCTCAGGCCTGTACAGCTGTGGTTTTCACATCATTCTACTCTTGGACCCTTCTGGTGGGGCAAAGACCCCATGGACTTCCAATTTTGCCAAAAAAATAACTATATAATCTTAGAGTTGGAAGAGATAGGTTAATTTAGTTCAGTTCCACTTCTCCACTTGCAAAGTGTTCCAGAGAGAGCAGGGGAGGTGGCCAGAGTCACAGCTGGTTAATGCAGAGCCAGGACCGGGATGGATCCCCCAATCCCTAGGTTGTGTGTTTCATCTTATAGCATTAATTTGGTCAAGGGACTTCTTTTTCAGGTTTATTTTCTTATGCGGATTCAATTACCAACCAACTGGGAATAGCTCTTACTTTAAAAGCTGCATTTGAACATGATCTGAAATTTCAGACTACTGAGAGGGCCTTGGAACCCTCAAGTGTGGAGACCCACACACATGGGGCCAAGGAAGGAATGAGGACAAGTCTACAGAAGCAAGTGGGGAAGAGAACGAGCTTAAGCTGGAAAGAAGGACCAAATCATTTTTTAAAACTCAGGAACAACAGCTTCTAGGTTTCCTGGGCTACTAGAAACAAATCGAGAGCATGACGGGGTGCTAAATTTGCATCTGCTTCCAGAACTGGGATACTAGAAGCAAAGAGGTGAATCCCTGTAAGAGGACTAAGGCCTGGATTTGCAAACCTACAAGCTCGCCAACAAGCATTTTCCCTGTACCCCATAAGGTACAGGTCTACCTCCGTTTTCCATTCATTGAACACCCACAATGTGGGCTTTTCTAGATGTTTGGTTCTTATATTTGAGGAGTAGGAGAGGCGGATGGGGAAAACAGAAGCCAGGGAAGGGACATGGGCAAGGTCACTTGGCTAAGAAAGGAGCCCAAAGTCAAACCTAATCCCCAAATTGACCGTAGGCCTCTTTCCACCCTGTAGTGAGAATTTGCAGGAGATGTAAGGGGAGCTCGGTCACCCAGGAAATACTCAGTGGAGACCAAGAGGTGCTGGAAGTCCTTGGACCGCCCATCCCTGTGTTAGGACACCATCTGAGCTGCAGCCGGTGCAGGGACCAGCCCTGAAGGCCCATGGGGCAGCTCGTGCACCCACAGCCAAGGACAACGGACAGAGGTACTTTCATGCAAAATGTTTATTTGGAATACGTGTGCTACTGAGCAGGCCAACCATCCGGAACTAGCAAGTCTTTACATTGTGCGGAGATACAAGAGCTCCCTGAACACATTCATCTGGGCTTTACTCCTCTTCACCCACCTCCACCTCTCGTCACCGTAAGACCTCTGGTGCGGCCTGATCTGGGGGTGATGAGCCGCGGCTGGAGACTGCCCGCTACCCGTTGGGTCTTTTCCTGGGACCCTCTCTACCTGCCTCCTTCCATCTTCATGGTGCCCAAAGAAACGATAAGCAGATACAGAGTTTCTGTGGGGTTACGGGGCCTTGTATTCACATTTGGGAAGTTCTTTTTTTTTTTTTTTTTGTTCTTCGAGATGCTTCTGCTTAGCTTTCCTGACAGGCCTGGGCGTGAGGGCTCACATTTCAGCTGACCCAAGTGGAGAATAATTCATTGATTTTTATAATCTGTAGGTTACTGCTTTTCTCCCTGGCTGGGACATATGGTTTTCATTTCTAATTTCTGCCTTATGCTCCTCAAATTGAACTTGCTTTTGTCTCGCTCTTGCTCCGTGACGGTGAGTGTCACACACATCAGCCCTGCCACGGGGTGGGGGAGGGGGCTGAAGGAGAGAAGTCTCGCTCCTCTGGCTTGGCTACAAGCCGCAGCAGACCCAGCTTCTGTAGGGAGAAGGGGATGGATCACCTTATGGGAGGCGCTTCCTCCTCACCCCGCCGCCCCCCGATCAAGGCAATGGGACCAATGGCTGGATAGTCTGGACTTGCCTTTGGGTTCAAGTTTCAGTCACTGCACAGAGGCCACAGAACAAGGACCTCCCTGTCTTCTGTAATAAACACAACTGTGACAGGGGCTCTCAAAAGTCAAAGCCAGGAATCTGCAGGCACTCTGCCCGCCTCTCCGCACTGCTGATGAACCCAAGGACTGTTTCGATGGGCAGCTGGCTAGACCATATTGACCTTTTGAAGAGGCCTCAATCTGGACTGTAGTCTTAACCACTTTTTTTTTTTTTTTTTAAGTAAAATGTGAAGGCTGGGGACCTATTCTCTCTTTAACCTTATTTTACCATCCCCCTCCTTCTTCGCTTGGTGGGTCCCAGGGTGGACCAACCCACTCTCCTGGAACAGGACCTCCCACCATGCAGACTCTTAAAGGTCACTTGGAATCTGTCTCTTAAATCCTGTCCTGAGTAGCAACTCTCCTCCCACAAACAGATGTACAGAATCTGCAGTTACAAACAAAAGAAAAAGCAAATGCGAAAATCCCCCAGGCCTGGGAGCGCTGCAGCCGGAGACTCATCCCACCCCGAGAGCACAGACAGATCTGGCTGAACAAGGCCTGGACATGCCAGTAACTGCTCACAAGAGCTCAGGAAACCGGGAGGGTTTCTCTGAGCCCGGCTCTTTAGGGAGTGGGAACCCGGCTGTACTGGTCACTTTCCAAGAGCTGCTAACCTGACACTTAATTGTGTCCTACTTCATCATTTTAAACAAAACAAAACAGAGCAAAACAGCCAAGACGCACAAACACAGTCTTTGGCGGGGGGGGGGGGGGGGGTCACAGATGAAATGGTGGCTTCATCATATTTTCCATCAGTCCTTTCTGCTCCGAGCTGGGAAGGAGTCAACAGTGGGGCGGCTGCGCCCTTCCTCCTCAGAAGCCCGAAGCCAAGCCACCACCAGAGTCGGTCATCCTGCTGCTGCAAAATGCGGTCAGGGGCTAGTTCCAGAGTCATCTGAGTTCACACATTTGAACTTGCATTAACCACAACACTTCAACCAACAGTCAAACAGAAGAGAAAAAGTTCAACTTAGAAATTGCACATGGATCGAAACCTTCACCTACGATTCTAGTAAGGAAACCAGCATCTCAGCAGATACGTTTTCAGGGACTTTTAAAGAAGAAAAGCATTCTGCAAACGCGCGCAGGAGCTGTGTGCCTTGGGCAGGCAGTTTTGTGCAGCCTGCAGAAACATAAGGTTGAAAACGATATAATGAAGGTACTTGGTTTTCGGTAATTTTGAAATTTTCTTCAAAGCAAGGCAATTACAGCTCTATTACCAACATGTTTTCCCTTCTTTTGTAAATCAAAAAGTACAAATACATTTCATGTGCAATTCCTCATGTAATGTTGAGTCCAAATGGCCAAAGGTAGAACTTTTAATTTTATAAGCCCCAAATTATGAAACACCAACAGTTAGCATACATACGAGAAAAACAATGACAAACACAAAATAGGAGAACTTTTTTTTTTCCGGCCACAAATAATAATGGATAGTTATATATGCATGAGAAGTGGTAATAGTAAAAGAATAATTAGCATTAAGTTCAAAACTTCTGGGAAGCTATTTTGGATTAGAGAATGTATTATTTACCTCAGAATGTGCAAGCTTAAAAGTCAAATTGTCAAAGTTATCCCCCCAACACACAACAAAAGATTTATATACAGGCTGGAATCCAGATACTAAGGTTCAAAGTATAAATATTGATAATTTCAACTAAATTCAGAATGGTTTCAGAAAGATGGTACAACTTAGAATAGAAACTGAAAGAGTATCCTATTTTGCTTTGTGATATACGTAGGTTACCCTATTTTTTTCTCTTCAGGATCCTTTTCTTTCTCTTGAGGAATAAGCTAAAATTTAGTTATTTTGATTAAAAGAAGTTTTTAGATGGGATCAACATATTGAAGAGGAAGTCAGAACAGAGATCATAGATATGTGTATATGTATGTGTCTATGTATGTACGTCTATATACGCACACCTTCTTCCTTTTGCAATTGAAGGAGAGAAGCAGACCCCACAAAGACCTCCAGGTAGCCACCCTCGTTTGGTTCTAGTAGACGACTTGAGTGATTCACCAACTATAACAGGCTAACTGACCTCTTCCCCATTAAGTTTCCTGGGAAAAAGTTTCTAACCATTCCAAATGCTGAGACTTGGCCCATCTCATTTGCTGGGAAAGCAAGAGCCTACTACAGCCTTTCACAAGAGTCAAAATCTGGAAAGAAGTAAGAGTAAGAACCAAGAGTGCAGATAAGTGTATTTGAAACGATTGTTCAGAATTACTTAGATTCTGTGTTGTTTATTACAGTCCAAAGACATGAAGTTCTTAGGAAATAAAGTCATATGGTACAGATAAAAATGGGCCAGTCAGAGTTGTTTGCAGGCCAAATTGCAGACCACCCAACAGTTCATATTTTAGGAATTTGAAACATCTAAAAATAGATAAGGTGGTTTCTCAAAGAAAAAGAGAGAGAGAAACAGAGAGGGAGAAACAGAGGGAAGGAAGGAAAGAAAAGGGAGGGAAAGAGGAAGGAAAGAGACAAGAAACCATTCAGGAAGTGTTAGCTAACAAGATACCTTACTTGGAAAGAAGGGGCAAACGCATAAAAATGCATAAAATTTGTGCAGGCTACTGCAATAGTAAACACAGTTGAATACATAGGCCTTGGAGTAGTTTTGTATTGGCATATATATAATGTCTCTGGCACTTTTAAAAAATATGCAGAGACTAATAATTAAGGATCATTCTAGATAAAAATACAGTATTTTGTAAAGGGGCAGGGGGAGGAAAGTCTGGTCTCAGGGGAGATCTCCACAGACAGATCGAGATGAAGCTATGTTTTTTGGTAATTCTAGTGGATATGGCAGCAAAAATAGTTGTAAGGATGTTGGCTGGTTTTGAGCAGGTTATTTTCAAATACCACCTTACAGCTACATTTGCAAAAGCATCTTTGTGAAAAGTTCATTTTATTAACCCTGTAAAATGTCTATAGGGACATCTCTTTCTAAGATAAAAGAAAAGGAGCTGAGTTGTGAAGGGGTAAGGGATGTGTGCTTTAAAACAAACATGAACCCTTTCTGGGTTCCTCTCACACAAAGGGATACAGACTCTTAAATAAAATAATACTTCCTTAAAAATCTGCCACCTCACAATTGTTTACATCATAGAAAAATAGCATTTTTTGTAAAAAGAAATATAGTTACTTTGTTAAAATGGTCTATTTTAAACCAGCAATTATTTTTCATATAAAGAATTTCTAAACAACCATACAGAACATAAAAATAGATAATACTGAGGGCAAAGCAGATGATGGCGTGTTTGCGAATGATCAAAAGTATTTCATCGCCAGATAAATAATACTCTGAGTACATTATGGTACAAGTTTTAATCTTTTAGGAACTTAAAAAGATATTGCTTTTATTCTCTGATGGCAAGTTACTTATAAATAGAATTACTTGCAGCAGCAGAAGGCCAAATTGATTAGAAATGGGTCGTATATATTCATCCCATTTCCCCTAAACTCAAAGTGCTGGAACGCCGGGCAGTTGGCCCAAGTCCCAAACTCCTTATCGTGAGCATGGACCACAGGCCGTGGAGATGCACAGGGGAATTTATGACATTCACAGTCCTTTCAAAATCATTCACGTTCGAATTTTCACATAGAACCAGATTAACACCAAACTATTTACCAGCTTGGCTAAATCCATCATTACGGAAAGTTTATGTGACTCCTTTCTAAATAGAGGTATTAACTCTTCATATTATGAAAACAGATGGTTTCAATGGACTACTGCTTTATTTCCACAAAGTGATTCTGTAGGGACGAGGAGTTTCTTGGTGGCAGTTGGAGAGGCTGCGACGGGATCTACAAGCCAGCAGGTTCCAGCCTACACGCGGGCGAGCCGGGAGGGCAGGCCAGACAAGGCGACACCCGGTGAGTAAACTCTAGCGATCTCGGGCTTCACTGGCATCTCCTCACACCCTCTCCACTCTGCTAGGGTCATAGGAATCTGTGAAAAAGCAAAAAAAAAAAAAAAAAAAAAAAGGCAACACAAAAAAATTAGTGGTATATTCAATTTGTGTGTTTTCTGTTTAATCCTCGGACCATAAATAAGTATGTTGAGGGAACAAAAAATCCACAAGTGTAAAGTGAATGCTTAGACATTTAAGCAATATTGATTTCACCGAGTAAGAAACTATCATCAAAAGAGTGTTTTAAAAGGACATGTATGATCATTACCTAATCACAGATGGAAACATGTGAGTTGCTTAATTTTTTTTAAAGATTTTATTTATTCATTTGAGACAGAGAGATACAGAGAGAGAAAGAGCATGAGCAGGGGGAGAGGCAGAGGGAGAGGGAGAAGCAGACTCCCCAATAAGCCGGGAGCCCGATGCTGGGCTCGACGTAAGGCTCGATCCCAGGACCTGGAGATCACAACCCAGGCTGAAGGCAGATGCTCAACCATCTGAGCCACCAGGCGCCCCGTGAGTTGCTTAATTTCTGATAGTTCTTTCCTGTGGTCCACAGTGGAAGAGGAGGGCATCGGTAACACTAAATGCAACACTGGTAAACCAGCAGTGCTATGTCTGGCTGATACTAAGGATCTTTTCTTTTCTTTTCTTTCTTTCTTTCCTTTCTTTCTTTCTTGTTTCTTTTCTTTCTTTCTTTCTTCCTTTCTTTCTCTTTCTCTTTTCTTTCTCTTTCTCTTTTCTTTCTTTTCTTTCTCTCTTTCTCTTTTCTTCCTCTCTCTTTTTTTGTAAATTACAACTCTAATGAAATCTTGCTTTAAAAAAAAATGCATCCTGGGGCACCTGGGTGGCTCAGTTGGTTAAGCAACTGCCTTCGGCTCAGGTCATGATCCCAGACTCCTGGGATCGAGTCCCGCATCGGGCTCCCTGCTCAGCAGGGGGTCTGCCTCTCCCTCTGACCCTCCTCCCTCTCATGCTCTTTCTCTATCATTCTCTCTCTCAATAAATAAAATAAAAATCTTTAAAAAAAATTTTCATATAAATGGAAAAAAAAATGCATCTTTGTGGGGCACCCGGGTGGCTCAGTTGGTTAAGCATCTGCCTTCGGCTCAGGTCATGATTCTGGAGTCCCAGGATCGAGCCCCACATTGGGCTCCCTGATCTCCTCTCCCCCCCTCCCCACTCATGTTCTTTCTCTCTCACTCTCTCTCTCAAATAAATAAGTAAAATCTTTAAAAAAAAAAAAAAAAAAGCATCTCTGTGATCAAATGCTGTCCCTGAAAGGCTTGAGGACCCTGAAATCCTGACCACTTGGCTGGCAACGAGAGGCCTGCTGTCCCTGACTGCCACCAGCCAGCAGACAGGCCCCAGGATGGACACATGATTGGTAGCACCCTCTTCTAGGCCTTCCCACACACCCGGGTGTATGGGCCTGGGCCATCGCGCTGACCCATTCCACAGCCCACACTGGAAAATCCCAACCTGGGCCCAAGTGAGCGGTGGGGTTTCCAAATGGGACACCATACACAAGGACAATGGTCCGGGGCTGCCATGAGGGCTACAGCTGGGTGATGCTGAATCTGACCCCCTGGAGACTCAGATCTCTGGGACCCAGTCAACCTCGAGCTCACTTGTGTGCCTCCTCTAGTCAGAATTTCCTGCCACAGCAGCACAAAGGTGTCCTGTTTAAGAAAAAACACTTACGAAATTTGGAAGGATTGGTAGAATTTGACAGTTATAAACACTATTGCAAAACAATCTCTGCTCAAATCTGTCTGGACCACTGTACATGACGAAGACCGTATAGATCCCAATTTCTCTAGCAGCTGAATGTTCTCCCACGCCTCCCCCCACCGTCTCAACTCAGCCCCAGTCCGGTTACGATCCATACTACAACCGTGACGACGACGACCGTGCTTAGGGCGCAGAGTCAGACGTTAGAAACCAGATAGGACACAGTGCCTGCATGTAGGAAAAGCAGCCTGCTCCACCTCCAACATGATTTGCTGCACCAGTGCCCACGTGGCTAAAAGCAAGGGGGGCTCAGGCGGGTCTGCTGCCTTCTGATCTTTTACACTTGGCCACACCCAGTGTGATGACACAGGATACCGACCGCCGAGAGCAGCATTTCTGTGCTCAGTCAGCCTCCTGGGTGCGGAATCCGAGGGGGCCCTCCTCTGAGCAAAAACATCTTTTTCTCCACTGGAAATGGGGTGGGCGGTCACTAATGGATGACGCGGCAGGAGGGGCACATTTTCAGCTGCTGAGAGGCCAGGAAGAGCTTGAGCATCTATTGAGCCTCAAGGTACATACAGTGGGCACTGAGCAGCTCACCTTGGGCCGGGCAGAGGGAGACACCCCCACAGAACAGGCCTGCACCCCAGAGCCTCACTGCTGAAGCTAACGGCCCAGAGCCAGGGAGCCGGGGAAAGAACTCTGGAGGACAATAGGCTCCTTCTGTGGGTCGTGGACGGTGTAGGTCCAATAAAAATACAATGTGAGCCACATAACGTTATTTTAAATTTTTCTAGAAGCAAATAAAAGGGAACAGGTGAAGTTAATTTTAATAATATATCTTATTTCACCAAATATATCCAATTTCATTTCGAAAGGGAATCAATATAAAAATAGAGAAACTTAAAAAAAAAGTTAGACTAAGTCTTTGAACCCTGGTGTGTATTTTACACTTGCAGCACCTCTCAGTTTGGATGGGCCCCATTTCAGATGCTCAAGGAACCACATGAAACCAGGAGCTATCATCCCGGCTGATGCAGGTCTGGAGGACAGAGAGGTTACTCTGAGTCATGAGAATCCTGGCTCCGGTGGGCAGTATTTCAGCTGGAGACCACTCACTCAGGCCTACCCTTGTGGGTATTTTGTGCATTAACATGCTTGAGAGCTACTGACCTCGAAGCTGTGCTGATATCCAGCCTTCCCCCGAGTGCCATTGCTTGGCACCTCACACCCTCCCAGGATGCAGCCCCGGCCTGAAGCAGTCTCTCCGTGTTCTCTTCCTGCGCCCACGTGGACAGAGTCTGCCATGGAAGCTACGGAACCAGCAGGCTCCGAACACTACCAGTGCCTGGATTATGCTTCCAAACTGGAACACGATCCATCCAGCACAGATGGGATTTTGTCACCTGAGTTAGTTTTGAGGTGCTGCCTTCTTAGCCGGCACCACTAAAAAGATGTCAGCTGAAAGGACCACCTTTAAGTTGCAATAAAGGTATTTATGATACAATGGGTACTACACCACCACACAGATCATTAAGTTCTAGAAGGGCGTGTGTGCGTGTGTATGCTGGGCAGGGGGACGTCACAGATATCCGTGATATAAACTTATTTTAAAATTCCAGAACAAAATCTGGATCTAAGTGGGCTGTGAATTTGGGAGCGGTGAAGTGGCTCCTGCCCACCGGGATGACGGGAACAGAGGTGGGGTGGGGATGGAGATGATGATTCGTGTGTGTAACATGATAAAATACATCAAGAGGAAAACAAAATCCAAGAGTTTATCAGCAAAAAAAGCAACAAGGCTTTATTCCAACTTGTGAAGCAACAACGAGGGGAAAAGCTAACATATCTCAAAGCCTGACCATCTCCATCCTATGATCTGCATTCCTCTCAGAATGATTTGGGACAGGCCTGGTGACTGTCACATGAGGGGCCGATGGGAGGTTCACCTGAGCCCTGGCGCGTGTACGAAATCGTCCCTGATGGCGTCCTGCTATGCAATTATTTAAGAGTGTCAGAGGGAGCCGTGTGGCATCACGAGGAGCTCTCTGCCTTTAGATTTGGGGTCATTTTATTATTTTATTATGTACTAATAAATGCATCAGATGGAGAGGGAAAAAAAATTCTACTGATTGTCAGTAACTATAGTTTAAAAAAAAAAAGGTTATGAAGAGCCGTTTCTAATGGCTGGCTAACATTAAAATTGGCATTATCTACATGTTTTCAGATACCTGTCCAACCCCGTCCACATGCCAAATGATCAAGCTAAAAAGTGAGGGAGTGCTTTACTGAACTAGAAGTTTTGTGTTATAAAATCCTCCCAAAATATGTGGGCCGTGGACTGAGACACAGAAATCTTGACAAACTGGCGTTTAATATAACAGGATTTGTCTCATTTTAAAATCCTTACAGTTCTTGGGATGAGACAGGACAGAGGAAGAAACTCATTTTAGCTCACACTTAAAAGCAAGTGGGCATATTTTGGGTGGGGAGAGGGAGGGACCGGGAGAGGAATTAGGCTGAGGCCTAATAAGTCCCAATAGCTCAAAAAATGGGCCATGTAACACTTTTTTCCACCATTATGGCAAGAGTTGCACATCTTAGTGTTCTCTTTCTTGGCAAAGACCAAATTTGTCAAGTCAGATGATCCAAGAGGGCCCTGACCAATGGGTTATTTCAATCATGTATTTTGTATAAGCAACTGAGCAACACTTGGCTAACACTCCCAAGAATCATAGTGCATTTGTGGGAAAATGTAAAAACTGCCATGGGGATGTTTTGTGGAACAAGAATTCTGGACTTTTCTAGCTGAAATAAGGAATCTTGGCCATTGACTTTTAAATCCTTGGATTTCCAAGTAGGAAACAGAGAAGGTGGGGGTAAGGGCACCGCCCTACAGTAAGACCAGAGGGCGTGGCTCAGGAGGGGGGCCCGGGGCCCCTGGTCAGCGAGGTCACACACTCGAGGGCGCAGTTTCCCCTTACTGTAAAAAGGTCCGAATGAACGATTCAAGGTCCCTGCCTGTCTGCGGTTTACGATCAGGCCTTTTGACATGTCCCTCCACTCTTCTTTCTCATTAGTTCTAGAATGTATCATTGCTAATTCCCCAGCCCCTGAAGAAAATGCTGGAAACAGAGTTGCCTGTTTGTGACAGAGCTGAGAGGTGAGAAATCCCTGTTGCTGCCACCAGGAACCCGCCTCGTGGTTTGACCTGGAGCAGCTCTGAAGGCGTTAGGGTGACCGAAGGGAGAGGCCCGCAGGCCTGCGCGGCCCTGCTGCCAAAACCCTCTGTCCTGGGCTTTAGCACTCAGGCCTCAGGGGGCCTTCTGGGACAGAGCTGATGGGTGAACCTTTTATAAAGGGGTAGGGTGTTGAGAAAGTACAAACTGTTCCTTTTATCTCCTAAACCTTTTTCAAGTTTCATAAAAGGTGTGGTAGCAAAAACAGATAAAATGGGGGACAAAGGATTTTGGAAGGTGCAGTGTGAGACACAACATCATGGGCTGGGCAGTTCATATCATTATCTGGGTACGTTTTTCTTATCAGAGTTAATAAAGAGCGTGCGGGTGGTCTGGATGAACGCTTGTTTTGGGAGAGAGAGCAGACTACCCACGTTATGGCCTCCCGCAAGGCTCATCGAGGTGTTGCGCCAAAGCTGGAATACTTTACTGATTTACCTCTTCACGGTAAGGGACCCAACACTTGTTTATATAGGTAACTGTATATAATTGTTTGCATAGGTAATTTCCATAAAGATATAATCCTTCACAATACACCACAGGATCTTGATTTTTAAGCAAAGCCTCTGGATAATTCTTTGTAAAAGGAAGAATCTTTTGGAACAATAATTCATAATCTCAACTTCACCAATGCAGGATTTTCATCATCCACCAACCTGGTGTTTTCTCTACTCTGAGAACGCCCGCCTGCTCGCCCGACTCCTCACCTGGGCACCAGAAATCCTGCTGGACGTTCTTCTTGTCCCTCTGTGCCGACGGATGCCCGTCTTCTTCCAGCGAGGGGGTACCCCTGGAGACAGAGGGGGGGTGCCCGGCCTTCTGCGACAGCTCCCCAGCATTCAGAGACACTGGGCCTCCAGGTGGCACCCCGGGGCCCCTCTCAGCCTTCAGTTCCTCAGCCTCCTCCATGGAGTCAGTGCTCCGGGAGCTCAGGAGCCTCATCCGAGACACAGAACTCACCTCTTTCATCCTCATCAAGCGGTCAGGGTCTGCTCTCCTCGGGGGGGAGGCCAGTTTCTCTTGTAAACTTTCGATCACTTTGGAAGTGCTTCTGAGCCTCTTTTCTGAGCCTGACACACTTGGGGTCCTCTCTATAAAATGGAACAGAGTGGACCTGAAGGGTGGTTTTGTCCCCAGGTCCTTGTGATTGAAGGCCTGGGACTCCTGGGGGCTGGGCTGAGGCTCGGGACTGGGCTGAGGCTCGGGGCTTGGGGCCTTGCTGGGGACAGTCCTGTCCACACTTGAGTGCTCAGCAGCCTGGGGAGCCCGACGGACACTCTCCCTCTCCCCGACAAAGAGAGGGCTTTCGGTCCAGCCGCACTTTCTCCTGCCATAAAAGGCATCCATGGACACCGGGGGGTCATCCGGCTGGGCTGAGCTGGACACAGACTCCTCCCTGGGGGCCTCCGGCCCGCGGGCACTTTCATCAGGCCCGGGATGCTGGTTCTGTCCCGTTCTCCTGGCGCCCGGCAGCAGGGACTCCACGGCCACCTCAATGCCCAGGATCCTCGCAGCCCTCGCTTGAAGGGACTCATTCGGGGGGATCTCTATTGCACTCGCTTTTCCTAAAGACCCATCTAACTTATCGGTACTCGGTTTCTGTGCGGGCAGGAGCCCCACAGACCTCAAGTCCGGTGCGGAGAGTCCTCGGGGTTTGCTGGCAAGAGAGAGTGGGAGCAGCGGGCTCCTCTCCCCTCCAGCCCCAGCCTGCCGAGGGGGTGCTGTGCTCAGCTCCCCAGAAATGGAAACACTGGGCAGCTCCTGACTTCCCTGGGGCTGCCTCGGTTCAGCTGGATTGGACGAGGGCGCTGGTTTTGTGTCACTTGACCTAGAAGACGTCACTCTGTGCAGCGGACCTGGGCTGACGGCTAGCTTGTTCATTCTGTGCTCCGCCTCCTGGTGCCCCTCCTCTGCGACCGGGCTTCCGTGTGCCCACAGCGAGGCTGCACCCCTGCCACCACCTGGCCCCACCGTCGTGGGGCCCGGGGACTGAGGCAGGACACGGGGCCCCCCGGGCTTCTGCTCCTCGCTCCAGCTCTCAGACTTGCTCTTCACTCTTCCCGGCCAGGCCCCGGGCTCCTCCAGCACCGGCCTCCTTCGGGGTTCCTCAGCTCTCCAGGCCCGGCTGGCTTCACCGAAGCCCCAGTTCTTGCCTTCGCATGGCCACTCTGTGTCACTGTCCTCACTGTGACTGTCGCTGCCACTCTGACCGCTTTCCTCCTCCTCCTGAAGCTCCTTGTTAAAACTTTCTAGCTGGCTGATCAAGTCCCAGGGGCGCCGGCTAACGGGCTTCAGGAGAAACTGCCCGAACAGCTGCTTACTGTTGCAGGGGCCGGTGGTCTCCCCCTTCACAACCTCACCCCGGGACACAGGGCTGGCCCCGCGGCCACGGCCATCCGCGCCGGCCCGACCGGGCCCTGCTTTCGGAGCGGGTGCCTGGTGTATGCAGGACGTAGTCCTTGAGAAAGCGCTGTTGCTGGAGGGGCTGAGGGACATTTGACCTTCGAGGGGAGGCGCCTTTGGCCTCTGGTTCTGGTCACTGGAAGCTAACGCCGTGGGCGTGTGAGCTTCAGAGGCCAGGGGGTCTGAAAGTCTGGGAGTCAGTACGGCTTTTGGGGACCCTCCCAGCTTCTCAGCAGCGAGGGGCCGTGGGCTTTTGGAGTCCTCGGTGAAAGTAGTTTGTGTTTGCTGATCTCTGTACTGGTGTCCTGGCCACGAGCCAGAATACTTGAGCTCTCTGTGTTTTGTAGGGTGAATGAATCTGAGGTCATTTGTTTGTTTGCCTTCTTCTGGTTCCCCCAGATCTTGTTTCTGGAATTCTGTTCTCCCAACCATGCTTCCTGTGAGAGCTTGCAGCTCCAGGTCGGTGGAAGACGTGCTCAGCAGACTTTGTTCTTGCAAAGCCGGGCTCTTATCAAGCCCATTCTTTTTACCAGTGCTCTGTTTTAAGTCATTGTTGTTCCTATCTATATCTGGCAGATGTGATTCGGATTTAACTGGGATGGAAACCAAACAAAATATCGTCTCGTTCATTTTTTTCTTTGAACTTTTCTTGGTCAGAATCCCAGTTTCAAATTTCTTGAGCTTGGTTCGAGTTTCCCAGGTACTCTCGCCCTGCGGGCTTGGGGAGGAGGCTGGGCCTTCTGTGTGTCCCTGCTGGCCGCCCCCCGTGGCAGGCCACTGTCCTCTCATGGCCCCATGGTCTCGTTGCTCAGGGAAGCCGCTGCTCTCTGCATCCCTGGGGCGCGGGCCCCACAGCCACCGGGGACTGGGATCAGCGGTGGAGGAGCCACTCACACTGCCTGGCGGGGTCACTGCACTCTGCGGGCTCGAGACGGTGCCATCGTGTTGACTGTGTCCATGCTCAGGTGCCGGGGTGGCACGGGGGCTGGGGTTGTAGGGCTGCCCATCAGCCGCTGCTTCCTGACAGAAGCCCTGCAGGTGGGCCAGTTTAAAATGTCGGATGCGTGGGTCGTCAAAGGGAATATACAGAACAGAGCCGTCATAAGCGGTGGTAGGCCGGGGCTGCAGGGGGACCCCGCGAGGAGAGTATGGGCTCACACCATACTCATTCTCGGGTCCCGGGGGGCCGGGAGGAAGCGGACAACCCGGGCCCGGCAGCTCCACTGGATGCTGCTGCTGACGGGGACCGCCGCACTCGGGCCTGGGCGCTGCATCCTCCACGTAGGGGTTGGAGATGTGCTGGGGCGGTGACCGGTACGATGGCGGAGGCACGTACACCGGAGGCTCTAAACCGGAGTCAGATGCACACAGCTCCAGCCTGGGCTCGTGAGTTCTGCTCAAGTAGGAGACACACAGGTCTACCTGCTGGCTGACTGGAGAGTCGCTGTTCTCCACTCCCACCCTGGAGTGCTGGTGAGAGTCGTAGGACGGGGGCTTGAGGGGTCGCCCAAACTTGGGCCGGGGTAAAGGGACCGAGGAGCCGCTCTTCTCAGGGTTCCTTGTGGATTCCAAATTTGGTGCACAATTTGGGGGATAAAATGGGATTTTAGGAACACCTGGAAAATGTCCATCATTTAATGGAATGGGGATGTCCATGCAACTCAGGCTCTCGGAGGAAAGAACCCTGGGCAGGGACTGGGATTTCCCTTTGCTTTGGGAATTCAACGCCTGCTCTCCTTGCATGAATGGGTACAGATCTTGAAATAATTTCTCCCCATCACCATCGGACATCTGCCTCCCTAATTTCCTTGGCTGGTTCCAGCTCTCGAGGCTTATATTCTGCCACTTGGCAGGTCCCGCCATTCTCAGCTCTTCTTCCCAAACTGCCTTCTTCATCACATTCTCTGTCCTTCCTCCAACTTCCCATGGGCCCTCCCTTGCATGGATGGGCAGACCTTGTGCTTGGGCCATGCCTCTGACCTCCAGATCTTCTCGGTCCCTTGGCCCCAGCAGGCCACTGACCTCCTGCCGTCTTCTTCTCCAGTAGGCGTGGTCGTGAGCAGTCTGCGGTTGAGAGGACCACCTTAGCACAGGCTGATGATAAAATCTACAAAACAAAGAGGCACAGAGGTTATACCGGGGCAAGAACCACATAGAAGAAACACGTCCTTCTCTGCTTCTGTGACTGGCGTTCCGAGTCAAACTCGGGTCAGTACTTCTGCAAAGTATCTTCCTAACCAGAGTACTTACAGACTTTAAAGAGAACATGTCCCACTAATTATGGTTGGAAGGCAGCCACGAGTTTTGTCACCAAGGGCCTAGGGGTGGCAGCAAGAAGCTGCCCACAAGAACATGAGGATGTTGGTGGTACTTGACAGATGTCAAGGCTCTTAGAACTTCAAAGTGCCCGAGGGAACAAGGGTCAACTCGAGAGCAGCATTTCTCAAAGTGTGGTCATGGGCCACTAGGAGTCCACTCCCTGCTGAGTCCTGACAACTGAGCTCTCCCGGGAGTTCGTCTGGGAACCTGCTTCTCAGAACTCCACCCCAGGGCCATGGTTCTTAACTTCAGCGTGGGCAGGAAGCATGAGAAAGGGTTGCTCAAGCACAGACGGCCGGGTCCCATCCCCAGGTTCTGATTCAGCAGTTTCAGGTGGGACCCCACAAAAGTGTATTTCTAACATGTCGCCAAGCGATGGGGTCCCAGGCACCCCACTCTGAGAACCATCACGGCCAGTCACTGTGAACCAGGACTTCATGTTAGAATCCAGAGGGGCTTCCCAAGTCCCGAGGCCCAGACATATCCCTGCTCCGTCACGTCAGAGCCGGCAGTGGGGTTTCTCCAGGTACCCGGATATTCCCAGTGTGCGACTGAGACAGAACCAGGGCTTCAACAGAGTTCCCGCACTTCCCTGATGACAAGAAGCCCCCAGTGGGCTCGTTAAATACACACGTTACCAAGTCTCTCCGGTAAAAGTTCAGATTCGGGAGGTCTGGGTCAGGGTCCAGGTGCCCACAGTTGTAGCGAGCACTCCAGGGGAGTCTCATCTTAGGTGATGTAGGAAACACTGCTCGGGCTGACCTGGAAACTCACCAGGAGAAGAAGGGCTCTGTCGTGCGCCAGGACCCCCAGGGCAGGCAGGAAATGGAAGTACCAAGTGCCAGCCTGCTCCCAGCTTGCCGCCCGTCACCTGGCCACATGTCAGAATTTCCTTGAGAGCCCCCCAGTCTAGCCAGCAGCACGAGACCGGTATATTTTGCCATCCCCTCAAATGATCCTAGCACGCACCCGGGGTGCAGAGTCACTGTTCTAACGCAGCTGAAGAAGAAATCCGCACAGCACTGTTGTCCTGCGCAGAAAGTCAGGGGCTGCTACAAGCGACTGGAGGCTAGGCGGCTAGTTTCTCCATAGCGCGGAGAAGCCATCAACCCAAAGACATCATGGCACGCTCAACTGCTCTCATTAACAGACAGTGTTCCAACTCCAAAACCGCTACTGGGTTTTGAAATCATAAAAGCAATATGCAGTTGTTGTCCAAAATCTGGAAAAACAGAGGAAAGTACAAAAGACAAAACCTGCTTGTCATCTTTCTCACCCAGTGACAGTTATTTTGATACATATGCTCTAGGCCTGGTGTAGGTGAGGATGCGGACTTTCGAAGAGCTGTGGTCTCCGCCAGGGATCTGGTTTATGTGGACATTCTCCTGCATGCGTAGTGCGGCCAGCAGCTGCTACGTACGTGGCCGTTACTACGTGCTCGGCCCACGCCACGGGCCTTCTGTCCGTTAACGCACCTGCGCTCTCGAGACAGGAACTGCTGTCATTCCCATTGGACCGAGGGGGAAATGGGAGGCACAGAAGATAAGGAACTTAACACTAACATGCACTTGGGCACGTATGCTGTCTCAGGCACTGTGGGAAGGATGCCCAATATCCACTGCTCTCTCTCCCTTTTGCAGATAAGGAAACTGAGGCACAGAGAGGTTCGACATCTCTCCCAAGTTACACAGCTTGCAAGGAGTAGGGACCGCTTCAAACACAGTGTGACCCTAAATAAAGCCCATTCGGGTAGCCACTCCGTGTCATGTCTTCCGATGGAATGCAAAATTCCTCAAGTGCATAATTTTAAAGGATGGTTGTTAGTATTGTATCATAGGGACAGGATTCCTTTAATCACCGTTAGGCCTCTGTAGAGGACATTCCAACACTCTCTGAGAAACACTATTGTTCGCAAACACTAAGCAGGTCGCAGATTATACAGAATAAATCCTTAGAAAAGGAATTAGTAGATCGGGGGCGTTATGTTGTCTCTATTGTCAAATCTGCCCTTAGGCCCACAGTTGCAATTTACTCTCCCCCCCCCCAGATGCAGAGGAGAGCCAATCTTGCTGATCCTTTCCCATCTCTGGTTGTTACAATTAAATTGTTTCCTTATTAGATAAGTGGAAATAACTCCTGATTGGTTTCAGTTTGCATTTCAATGATTACTAGTGAGGGTAGCTTTTTTTTTTCCATGTGCTCAGGTGTCCTTTGTGGTTTTCAAAGGATTTCTACAGCACAGCCCACTTTTCAGCTGACAGTGGAGTGAGGATGGTGGGAACGGGCCCGTGGGGCCGCTGGTTCTGGGCAACAGCAGGTGAAGGCCTGGGGTGGGGCGAGAGGGTGAAGAGCTGCCAGGAACTGGCTGAAAGGGGACCATTCCCAACACCCGGATGGAGGCTGCTATTCTGCGAGCCTGGATGGTCAGTAAATAGTAAACATCCATGATCACCACCATCATCATCATCACTACAGGCATACCTCACTTTACTGCGCTTCTCAGATCCGACCGTTTTTACAAACGGAACGTTCAGGACTTCCGTGGAAGAAGTCCCTGCAGATGGGGTGGAAACAGCAAGAGAACCAGAATTAGAAGTGGAGCCTGAAGATGGGACTGAACTGCTGCCGTCCCGTGAGAACACCTGAACGGATGAGGAGTTGCTTTTTACGGATGAGCAAAGAAAGTGGTTTCTTGAGATGGAAACTACTCCTGGCGAAGAAGCCGTGAAGATTGTTGAAAGGACAACAAAGGATTTAGAATATTCCACATACTGAACTGATAAAGCAGCACCAGGGTTTGAGAGGATTCAGTCCAACAGTGAAAGAAGTTCTACTGTGGGTCACACGCTATCAAAGAGCATCGCATCTCACAGAGAAATTGTTCATGGGAGGGAGAGTCAACCAGTGTGGCAAACTTCACTGTTGTCTTATTTTAAGAAATTGCCACAGCCACCCCCACCTTCAGCAGCCACCAACCTCGAGGCAAGATCCTCCTCCAGCAAAAGGATGATTTGCTGAAAGCTCAGATGGTGGTTAGCATTTTTAGCAATATTTTAATTTTTTAATTTTCTATTTTTTTAATCTCTGTGCCCCACGTGGGGCTCAAACTCATGACCCTGAGATCAAAAGCCCCATACTCTACCAACGGAGCCAGCCAGGTGCCCCCATTTAGCAATATTTTTTTTTATTAAGATTCTATTTATTTATTTGACAGAGAGAGAGAGAGCGAGAGAGGGAACACAAGCAGGGGGAGTGGGAGAGGGAGAAGCAGGCTTCGCGCCGAGCAGGGAGCCCGATGCGGGGCTCGATCCCAGGACCCAGGGATCATGACCTGAGCTGAAGGCAGATGCTCAACGACTGAGCCACCCAGGCGCCCCTAGCAATATTTTAAATTAAGGTACGTACTCTGCTTATTTAGACATAACACTATCGCGCACTTCAAAGACTATGGTGTGGTGTACACAAAAGTTTAGTATGTATTGGGACACCACAAAATTCATAACCGGACCTGCACTCTCTCTGAGGCATGCCATCATCAGTACCACCATAGTCGTGGTATTTTGGAATTCCTTCTTTGCCTCAAGTCCTGCTCCCACCCCCGCTCCAGATAACTTTTTAAGCAGCCACTTAAAGCAAAACTGAGTTATCGGTTGACAAAGCAGAAAATACTTAAAATCAGTTTGAGGTAAAGCGTTTGCCACTGAGCAGTCTAAATGCTACTGCATTTACCACTTACACAGAGTGGCGGTAGTCTTAACACGGGGCATGGCTGAAGGTCAGCTTCTTCATTTGCTCTTGCTATTGCTGAAACTTTGTTCTGAGCACTTAGGATTTGAAAGCTTAGCAGAACTCTTCTTGGGGCAGGTTCCATAGGGACCGGGCAGGGTGGAAGCCCTCACCTGCACCCTCCTTGCACAGCCCCGCCCCCACCTGAGTGGGCCAGCAAGTCACCACCGTGCGCTCCGGAGGCCACAGGCCCTTCCCTGAGGAAGTCCTCTCTGACCGCCCGTCCATCACAGATGCCCCGAGAAACAGCAGAAGATGCATGGACTGCAGGGTCTTAGACTCTACACGCAGTCCAAGGGCAAGACTGAACCACTGCAACTTAGTAAGAAGTGACAGTTGTCATGGACCCAATTGAGAGAGAGTCAAGAATCTCCTTTCTTGCCTCTGTTCTTCAGCAGATAGTGAGTGGGCTTTATATACCACACAGCTTTAATAAGCACCGTTCTTACTCCTTACAGTCCTATAAACATTCTCCTGGGGCACCTGACTTTATGAGAAAAACCACATTGTGTGGCTTTTGCTCATTTTCTCAATGGATATTCTGGTTTCTCAGTAAATGTGTGGTGTGCTTAAGTGCCAAGAGGTGGCCGGGATCCCAAGGTGCTATTTGTCTATGGACGTTCCATGAACATGATCAGAAGACAAATAAAGGATGACATAAATAGGGCAAGAACAGTCAGGCTGTAACTACCTACACTAGTAATGTAGTCAGTTTATTTAGGTTTAGGTACCCCACCTAAAAAGGTTACACTGTATCACTTTAACTTTGTCAAAACTGCCCTATCTAACTAACCAAAATGGCTAAGCATTCTGGATTCAGCTTTCTTCTATTTGTACAAGACAAGGTCATCTGGGAAATAATAAATAATCTATATAATAGAACATGCTAAAGAACCTACTTAACAAACATCTGTCCTGTACCCAAGATGCCTGACTCAGACAGGTTCAAGTGGACCCCACCTGGTGACAGTGCTGGTCGGTTTCTCCCTCAGACAAGCTATC